AAAGGGTTTAAAGAACCCAGGGAAACAAAAAACATCTGGACCCTGTTTTTTGACTGGAAATTTCTAGCAAAACAAAACAAAACAAACAACAACAACCAAACCAAAACAAACCAAAAAACCCCTTCCAAATGGCCTCGCTCTTGAGAGGAGGAAACATTGATGTGGGTCAATTTGAAACATCATCACTGTGCCCAGTGCTCCTTATCTGCTTGCTTGGACTGCCTTTGGGGAGAAAGGATGTGGAAGAAAGAGATTTTCCATGAAATGAAAGACAGTTGCCCTAGGAGACTGACTGGGAAGTCTGTAGGACTCAGAAACAGCTATGCACAGGTGGGCCAGAGCCCAGGAGTATGTAGCATTGGGTGGGTAAGGGGCTCTGACCCTAACAAAAGGTGGTCAGGTGAGTCAATAGAAGACTCTGGAAGATAGAAGATCTGAATGTTAGCCCTGTTTTCCTGTAGTTGTCTCCATTTCCTCTTTTGCAAGTTGAGAGTTTCACATAGATTTTCTCTAAGGTTCTGTTTCCAGAGTTAAGATTTCCATTCTGCCTTTGCAGTGTTGAGCACAGTTAAATTGAATGATGTGGCAGTTCAACCAAGCCTCCATCATCACTGGACTCTCATTTCCAAACTGCACCCCCTGATGAGCAATCCCAACCCCCCACTTCCACTGTAGCTTTCCCACTGTGACTGGGAGACAGTCTCTTTGTTGTCAGCATGCTCCCAGAAGCCTCAGCCCCTTCACCCTCTTGCCACCCATCCCTAAACCCAACAGTCTCTTGCAGCTTCCCAAGTTGGGGCTATCTGTTCTCCAGGGAAACAGTATCAGTAGAATGGACACTTACATATGCAGACACATATGCATACACAGTACCAGTAGAACTTATGTAGAGAGATTTATATATGTATAAATGTTTGATTTTTTAATGTTTTATTGTGAGTTATGTGATAGTTTGCATGGGAGAACATTAGCTTTAAATTAATCTTATAATATATTGTTTCTTTGCAATGGTTACAATCCCCTCCATGTATCATCAACCAACCAAAGGGTATACCACAAAAACTTGCCCCATGGTCATCAGCACACAGCCCCTCTTCTTCTCTGGGTCCACAGTCCCCAGCCATTCCATCTCTCCACATCATCATCTCTGCCTCCATCTCTGGTGTCACTGTTTCTCTGGGTAGGGTCCTGTACTCTGCTCTTCTCCCTTGATGGTCCCAAGACTGCAAAGTCAATCACTCCCCTCCTTTTGCTACAAAATGTCTGCCTTTACATTTCCAACCCTCACAATCAGTCCTGATAACAATTATTCACTATTGTACCACAAGAGACCTATCCCCATCTCCTTTCATCAGCCCCACCCAGACAGATTGGATACTACTCAGTGGAGATTCTACCTTCCTCTGTGCCCTTTGGATCTAAGCTCCCTCTTGAAAACTTGTAAGCCAGTCACTTCTTGCCTTTGTAGCCCTCCTCTCCACATTTTGGGTAGCCAATGTCCAAGTTTCCCATCCCTGTCTACTCTCTGTATGGAGGGGCTGGGAATGATCCTTGTTGTAAAGATTTGTTCCCTCCTTTGAGCTACTCCTATAAATGTATTTTAAGAAATTGACTCACGTGATTATGGACACACTAGCAAGTACAAAATCTATAGTCCATGTGGCAGGCTGGAAACTAGCAGGATTACTCTGTTATGATTTGGAGGCAGAATTTCTTTGCCAAGAAACCTCAGTTTTTGCTTTTCAGATCCTTTAAATGATTGGATAAAACCCACTCACATTATTGAGGGAAATCTGTCCTTAGAGTCAACTGATTTGAATGTTAATCTCATCAACATCTAGTTTGGTCAAACAATGACATCATAGCTTAGCCAAGTGGAGACATAAAAGTAATCATCACAAAAAATTAGCCTTATGTACAGGAGTTCTGGTAGCATATTGGATTATGAGCTGAGCTGCTAATCTCAAGCTTAGTAGTTGGAATGTACCAGCTGCTCAGCGGAAGAAAGATGAGGCATTCTGCTCCCGTAAAGATTTACAGCCTTGGTGACCCTGTACAGGGTCAGAACCAACACATAACAACAACAACTGCAGGCCTGGGATGGGGACTAGGGCTGCTCTGTCTCCTCTTTTCTCCCTCCTAACAATCTTTCCTCCTTCCAAGTCTCTGGCTCGGCACTCTCATCTCTCTCACTGCTGCCTTATACCAATCTCCACTCCCTTTCCCTAACTTCCCAGAGAATAGCAGGGCTTGACCTATGATTTTTTTCCCTGCCTCACTCCTGTCACTGTCTTTGTCCTTCTTGTCACTACATTGGTCACTCGAACATTCACACCATTTGATGACACCGTAGCTTCTGTGCTTCTCAACCACCTCACTGCCTGTGACCCTTTGCTTCACATGGAGGCATACATGCAAATACTTGATGACATCAGAGGTTCTGTTTATCTTCAAAAGCATAGTACCTTTCACTAGGGTCACCACATAATTTATTTTCCAGACTGGGACAATTTTGTGAGTGAAAGGGGGCAATAAAAAAGTTATATTCATTTGGAAAATATTTACTTATTGATGAATTGATAACTCAAAACCCAAGAAACTAACCACATTGCCATGTACTTGATTCCAACTCATAGCAATCCTCTATGACAGACTAGGACTGCCCTGTAGGGTTTATATGGCTATGATTTTTGTGCAATTATATTATGCCACATCTTTCTCTCTTGGAGTGGCTGGTGGGTTTGAACTACTGACCTTTTGGTTAGCAGCCAAGTGCTTTATCCACAAATTGAATTGATGACAAATTGGTTTTATTATATTAAAGTCTACCTAAAAGTTGTTAAAAAAAAACTTTCCCACAAAAATTTAAAAAATGAAATAGGTTATATGAGTGTATTGAAGCAACATTTTCATAATCTCCTTTAGATTATTTACTCATTCAAGAACAAATTCAGAATAATTGCTCCTGGACTCTTGTTTTTGTGCTGTAGGATCAGCACTGGACTGTGAACCACGAGGTAGGCAGTTCAAACACACCAGCCGCTCCTCAGACCCCCTACACAGGGTCGTTATGAGTCGGAACCAGTTTGATGGCACTTAACAACAGTACTTAATTAAGTTATTTAATTAGTTTCTTAGCTGTATCTTTAATAATGTGATATCTTTTGAAGAATTTTCTCTTAAAAATTTTTTTTTGTATTTTGAAGGTGTTGAACAAAACTATTTTCCATCACCTTCAAGTCAATTCTATGTTAATAGATCTCAAATTGCTTTCACCTTTAGTAGATTCTTCTCTGGCTACCACAATATTTTAAAATTGATAATATACTCTCTCTCCAGGTACTGAATGTTTTGGTAGACTCAGAGAAAACTCTAAGTGGATGAGGTTCTAATTTTCCATTTTTTATGTAAACACTTTTATCTCAGGTATTGATATAGGTAGGAATCTCTGGGTGAAGCTGAACTATTCACTGAAAGGTTGGCAGTTCAACCTACCCAGAAGTCAGTCCTGGTGATCTGCTTCTGAAAGTCATAATCCTTGAAAATGTTTTGGGACAGTTCTACTCTGCACACATGGGATAGCTGTGAGTCAGAATCCACTCAAGAACAGCAGCGAACAGTTAACACAGTTACTTTCTTTTGCCTTCATGCGGAGTAGCATTCTTTGGCACCAATTTTTACAAAAGTTAACTTGCCAAGTAAGTCCTCTCTATGTATGAATCTTGGAATGTTTTCCCATTGCACAGGTATTTCACATCCTAATAGATGAGTCCTTGGCAGAAGCTGCAAGTGAAACAAAGAGTTCAACCAAACCCATCCTGGCTCATTTTAAGGCAATTAGTAAGAACAGCAATTGAGTTAACAAGTGTAAAATCCAAGACAAATGCTAAGCCTGGACAGCAGGCAAAAACAGGGACTCTCCCAGAAAAGAGCTAACACTACCATCTCAGGGATCACTCAGTGGATCGCAGTCCTGCCTGCATATCACAATCACCAAGAAAACGCTTTAAAAAATTCCCAACACCTAGGCTCCATGCTCTAGAGACTCAGATTACATTAGTATTAGGATGTAGGATCCCCTGGGAATCCTCACGCCCCAGGTGGTTCTAATGTGCAGCTGGGGCCTAAAGCCTGCATCGGCTTAATGCAGCCCTTTTGAGCAAGATCCACTCAGTCCTCCTGTGCCTTCCCCCAGCTGCTCTGAGGTAACATGTTGCAGTTACGTGGGGATTCATATGATAGTGACCATGGAGTAGCTGTGGAGTGAACTGTGACTTAAGGTGACTGCATGTGTCAGAGTAGGTTTACAGGGCTGATTTTTTAAAAGCACATCACCAGGCATTTCTCCCACAGCACATCTGTGTGGATCTAAACCTCAAAACGCAGCCAAGTGCATTAACTGTTTGCACCGCCCAGGGAGGCTAATCGGGAAAAGCTTTGTTGCCGATACACTGTCTCTGCACCTGTGTGGACATAGTGTTACTTGCTAGGTGGAGCAAACAGCAGGTGCTCCTGATACAAGAAGGGCCAAGTCCTGCACCCCCAGACCCTGGGGAGTGCTATAGATGACAGCCAGAATGACTACGCCTAATCCTGGTAAACCTTTAATTAAGCAACTTCTACAATATCATGACAAAATGAAAGCTGAGGGTTTTAGAGCTTTAATGAGAATAAAGGGGAAAACCACACAAAAGCTCCACTTAAACCAGCCAGAAGTGCTATATTCTATTCTGAACATTTATTCTGAAAGCAGCCTTCAAAATATAAAACCCCATCACGCTCAAAAGGATGTATTGTTTCAGTTCACTCTACAAATTTACAATCCTCTTTCTAACTCCCAAGTTTTGAAGTCTGGGAAACAACGATGGCAAAGAAAAATAACACATCTGCGTCCCAAGCCCTCTGTGCCTCCCTGCCCTGCATCTGCCCCATTAAGTGCTGGGGGTTGTCCAGAGAACACTTGGTACAGTAGTGTTAGCTGGTGTTCTGCAGAGCTGGGCTCAGTTTCGCGGTTGGGAGTTGAACTCTGTACAAATGTTCCGGATGATCCTGGGGACGATTTTGTAGAGGTTGTCAAACTCATCCACGAAGAAGGAATGGTCCTTGGCAGGGTGGGTGGCGATGATATCCAGCTCGTCCTGTGCAGCCCATACGATACCTACAGCGTAGGTGATCAATCCTGTGGAGATAAGGGCTGGATGAGGCAAGGTCCCTGAGGAAAAGGCACTGCCAATGAAGCAGTGCCTTCCTGTTGCTTAGCTACCTTTTGTCTTCAAGTGCAAGCGTAAATGCCAATGGGTCTCCCTAAGGATTTCTAGTGCTCTAAAATTGAGATAAAATGTGGCCTCCATTCATTCAATCAATACTTCTGAACATCTCTTATAGGAGTCAACAGTAACAAAATTGATACTGTTAGCTCAGTTTATAGTCTCTTCTGGGAATGGAGGGAAAACAGACAAAATAGAGTAAATACATAGTAAGAATTTCACATTCCTGAGCAGGCAAAGGGCAAGATGTTTGGGACACGTGAAATCTCTGGTGCCCTGCAGACCACTCCACATTGTGCCCACATGATCTGTCCTGCATAGAGCCCAATACACAGTGAAGTCAGTTCAATACTCTTTTTAACTAAAACAATGGAATTGAGTTGCTTAAGATTAGAGGGTGCCTTTAAAAGCTACAGGAACCCCGATCCCACAGTGGATAAGTGTTTGGCTGCTAACTGAAAGGTCAGTGATTGGAACCCACCCGGCGGCTCTGTGGGAGAATGTTGGGGCAGTTTGCTTTTGTAAAGATGACAGTGTTGGAACCCGGCGGGGCAGTTCTACTCTGTTCTATAGGGTTACTAAGGAATTGACAATGGGTTGGTTTTTGTTTTGTTTAGAATCCATAGAGTCCAACCTCCTTCCCACTGCGGGAGCCTCTGCACAAGGTCTCAGAGGAATGGTCACCCAGCATCTGCCCCATCACCATGTGAAGACAGGCTTCCAGACAAAGGGGGTGGCCAGCAGTGCCAAATGCTGCAGGGAGGCTGCATTAAGATGGAAATAAGAAAATGTATTCATCAGACTTAGGAAAAAATGGAAGAAAAGGCAAAAAAAAAAAAAAAAAAAAAAGGAAAGGCATCAGTGTGGAGACAGTTTCAGGGGAGTAGGTGTAGCAGAAACAAAGTAGATTTTTGAGTTGAAAATAAAAATGAAGTGAAGATGTGGGGGACAGCAGGTACATTGTTGTCTGTTGTCGTCATGTCAGCTTCATACTCATGGCGACCCTGTGTGTTACACAGTAGAACCACGCCAAAGGGTTTTCTGGGTTTTAATCTTTACGGAGAAATCCTGCTGTGGCACTGTGGGTTAATGTGCTGGACTGCAAAGTCAGTTTGAACCGCAAGGTTGGCGGGTTGGAACCGACTCGATGGCACTTAACAACAATCTTTACAGCCAGGTTTCTTCAGTGAAACCACCTGGATAGTTTTGAACCATCGGCCTTTAGATTAGCAGCTGATTAAAATTGTTTACATCACCCAGGCTCTCTTAGAAGTTTGGCTGTGAAGGGGTTAGAAGCAGGTGGTAACTGAAGCAAAAACATGGGGTTAAGGGCAATGTTTTTTATTTTTTAGGATGGGAGGGACTTGAATATGTCTTGATGTGGATGTGAAAAAATACAGTGGAAATGAAGGTTGTAAAAGAAAGGGAGGGAGGTGGGTGGATGTGTGTGTGTGTGTGTGTGTGTGTGTGTGTGTGTTAGTAAGATGTTAAGATGTCCTGGGAGGATAGGGAGGGTTTTGGAAACTAGGCATCCATTCTTAGTGGAAAGCAGGAATCAGCCTGGTGTGCTATTTCTTGATTTAAGCTTGGGGCAGCTGGTCAACAAAAGCCTGTCCCTGCTGGGCACAGGGGTGCACCTCCTAGACTCCAGCATTTTCTCCTGGGAACTTTGTCCTATAGACTGCAGAGCTGAACCTGGCCCACATGGTTCTGATCTAAGCTGTATTTCATCTTCCAGTCCCCTTGCTCCTCTCTGAAATTTCTTTTCTAGAATTGTGTCTAGCTTGTGAAGAACCAGCTTGGAGCTTTAAAATACTGCCAAGTAGCTGGGGAGCTAGGGGCAGCTTGGCTTCAGCCCTGTACTTAGACTGACTAGACTGGCTTTTCTGCTCAAAGATGGAAAGGTTGCCCCCAATAAAGACAACACAAACAGTATTAGAAACATAGCTTTCCGTATCTTTCAGTCAGCCTTGTTGTAGGGAATCTTCTACTGGCAATTGTAACAGATGGATGCGAGCCTCAAGTTGGATGTTCCCAGGGGACAAAACACTCATTTGTTTTCAGAGGAGCTTTAGTGTTGGTTTGAGCAGAGACCTGCCTCTAAGTTTGTACTTACTGGTCCTCATACTGTAAAGTTTTCCTGATCATGATACTCCCAATAGTTCCCAGGACATTGCTCACAGTCTTCATTTCTCCTGCCAGGAAGGGTAGGGCTAGCCCCTGGGTTAGTTCCAAAACAGGCCCATCTAGAAAACCCAGCGTTAGTGTAGCTGAACATGCAGAGGGGGAGTGATGTTTAGAGAAAGATGGAAAGCCTGGGACTTATTGTCTAGCACTGACCCTCCCATGTCTGCCCACTCATTTTGGGATGTTGACCAGCTTCTACTGTGAGCCCAGGGGACATGGTGGCTACTGACTTGTGGTCACCAGACATCCGCTGTGGCTGAGTGTGCCCTATAGGAGGGGAGACCACAGGAGGCCTTGCCTGAACCCCGGGCTTATTACTTTGGTTTCCAGAAGTCAGCAATGCTGGTGTATTGTGGCTTATTGTATTCCACCTCCCTCCTTTCAGGGTGGATTAAAAGCTGCTTTTAAGACTACAGAAAATCCTGCAAAACAACCCAAATTCAATGTAGGCAGAGAAGAAGAAAACAAACCACCATGGCCCTGAGTACTGCACACCAGTACTTATCTATTGGTCCTATGTGTTCACTGACCACTTGTCCTTTTGCTGTGATTACGGTCACAGGGGAGTTTTCTCCACATTGTTTGTCTTTTATGGGACTTAAAAGAAAAAATAGTGATTATCCACAGATAATCACTATAATAGTCTGCAAACAAGGACATACATTTGACTGTTTTTATAAACATTTAAACAGCTTGCTCATTTTTTTTTATATAGTTTTAAGTGTTCTGATGTCCTCTTTTGCATTTTCACATGAAAATATTTTTTAAAAGTATTTTGTATGAAAATTTCTGTGGGGTTGCCCCCAAACTCACAATATCTTGTTAGCAGTTACTCACAAAAATAGTGGTTTTCTTTAAAAATATTGTTTTTCTTTGAAATGTACTAAAACAATTGGTAGTCTTCACCACCATGCCACCAGAGTTCCTATAGGATATAAGTGTGCTGCCGTCAAATTGAGTCCAATTCACAGTGACCATGTGGACAGAGTAGAACTGCTTCTTAGGGTCTTAGAGACTGTCATTCTTTGCGGGGACAGACAGCCTCATCTTTCTCCCTTGGAACGGCTGGTGGGTTTCAACTGCTGACCTTTCAGTTAGCATGCTAACATGTAACCACGGTGCCACCAGGGTTCAGTTAGGGTATAAAGGAGAAGGGTTCAGGTCACTCAGAGGCCTTGAGTTTTTGATGACACTTTGGAAACTAACTGCTGTTTCTGGGTCAGTTCCCTCTTCATTGGTCATAAGGACCTGCAGGGTTTACCTACAGCCCTAATACTCTCTCTGTGGTTTTGTGCTCATAAAAACCAATCATAAAAAGGCCACCAGGTGCTGTTGAGTCATGGTCATCCCATATGTGTCAGAGGAGAACTGTGCTCCATAAAGTTTTTAATCACTGATGTTTCAGAACTAGAGTACCAGACCATTCTTCCAAGGTGTCTCTGGGGACAACTGAAACTTGCAACCTTTGAACAAGTACATTAAATATGTGCACCAACCGAGACTCTTTATCAAAAGACTGAACCTTCCTTCTTCCACTGACTCACGAGCCCCAGAGAAGTTCCTCAGAACCCAGACTGCCAAGCAAGGCCAGCTTACCTTTCTGATGGGCAGCCATGGCTGGTATTCGGACATTATCGTAGGACCGCCCATCGGTGATGAGGATCATTAGCTTCCGTTTATTGGGCTTGGACTTGCTGAAGAGCTGCTCCAAGGCGAAGTTGATGGCCGCCCCCGTGCTGGTCCCACCGCTCCAGTACCCCACCCTCTTGATTGCGTTCAGGATGTCCGGCTTGCTGTTGTACTGGTCCAACCCAAACTCCAGCCGCTGCTCATAGGTGTACTGCACAGCCCCGATTCTCGTGTCTGTGTCGGAAATCTCAAAGTGTTTGCTTAGGTTGGCCACGAACTGCAGGACTGTGCGGAAGTTGCTAGTGCCGACGCTGCTGGAGCCGTCGATGACAAAGCCGATGTCAGCGGAGTTGAAGCAGGTCTTGCTACAGGCCAGGCGGTCCGAGTCACAGATCCGCTTCACCAGAGGCTTCATGGTTTTGTGTAGGCTGAACCAGCTCTGCACTTTGAGGGAGTAAAAGCTGTTTGTTCTGCACACAGCCTGGGAAGACACAGAGGGATGAGACATTCACCAGCCCGGGGTTAAGTCCTTCCACCTGTCACTACTAACCCTTGACCACCTGGGCAGTGGAAGAAGCAAATAACCACCCACTCCCCAAACAAAACCAAAAACCAAAAAACCCAACCAAACCCACTACCATCAGTTGATTCCAACTCATAGTGATCTGCATAGGATTTATTTCTGAGGCTGTAAATCTTTAAGAGGGCATAACATCTTCATATTTTGCCCATAGAGTGACTGGTGGGTTTGAACTGCCAACCATGCAATTAGCAGTCCAATGCTTATCTTGTAGCACCATCTGTAGAAGAAGCAAACAGACCTCTTGTTTTCTGCATGATTTCTCCCAATGCTCTCATTTTCCATTCCAGTTCACCCAATCAGGCATTCGTTGAGGCAAAGACCCCTCCCAGGACTGAAACAATTTCCTTTGGGGGGGGGGGTGTTTAATGAAAAGCCATCTGCTAAACAAATCCACAGGGAGGCGGGAGCCACTGATTTCGGCTTCCTATTTATGCCTCCTGGGAACCTTCCAACCATTTGTACTGGCAACCAGCCACAAGATGGCAGTGGTGGGCACCGCCACATGAAACATTTTTTTCTGGAACAGGTCTGGCACAAGTAAGTAAATATGCATTTGCTTCGAGGCAGGTTTGTCTGGAGGACAGAGCTCAAGTTTTGAGGGCAGACAGATTTGTGTTCTAGTCTTGGGGACTGTGGGGATGGTCATTTATAACCAGGCCGCTGTTTGTTCTTTCATAACCAGGCCGCTGTTTGTTCTTTCATGACAAGGCTGCTGCTGTTAAGTTCCTTCAAGTCAGTTCTGACTCATAGTGACCCTGTATAGGGTTTCCAGTGGAGTCCTGGTATGGATAAGCACTGGACAGAAAGGTCGTTTGAACCTAAGGTTAGTAGTTCAAGCTCACTAGCCATTCCTTGGAAACCCTATACAGGGTCACTATGAGACAGAACCAACTTGATGGCACTTAACAACAACAACAACAACAACAACAACATAGGGTTCCAAGGAGTGGCTGGTGGTTAGCAGTTCGGTACATATCCTAGAGTGCCACACCAGGACGCCTCATGACAAAGTTATAAAACCCCCAAAAAACCAACTTGTTGGCTGGAATTGATTCTGGAGCATGGTGACTCCATATGTACAGAGGATAACTGTGCTCCAAAGGGTTTTCAAGGCAGTGACGTCTCAGAAGTTGATCTTCAGGACTTTCTTCCAAGGTGCCTTTGGGTCAGTTCAAACTTCTAACCTTTCAGTTGGTAATGAGTGCTTAACCATTTGTATCACCCAGACCCCGCAATTCCAGCCTGTAGGGTTCAGGTGGGGATCTGTTGACAGTCTCTCCAAGATCATCTAGTGCAACGTTTGACACATGGATGGATCTCTACAATGTGTAGAGGCTGCTCTGCAAACATTCTCTTCAGTCATTTCTTGTGTGTGTCTTTTGTTTTCCCAATCACAACAAAACCTTTCTATAAGACTGTTGCAAAGGTACATTTTGCAACCTGTTTTCCTACAAGTGACTGGACCTGTGTTCCTAATGAGGGGCATTCCTCCTCTCCCTGCCTCCACAGGGGCCAGATATAGAGGACTATGGAGGAACCTGTACTACTCAACAAAACCGTTTAAACACAAGATGGCTTTGAACTTTCCTAGGAAACCTTTTTTAATTGGCTTGTAAAAATCTAAATGGGCTCCATGGAAGAGGTGATATTTGAGATGAACGTTGAAATCTGAGCCGAATTCTAATAAAGGATGGAGAACAGGGTAACCCACCAAGCAGCTGAGTCAAGTCATGGTGGAAGAGACAGGGGCTTTCTGGGTATGAAGGGAGATCTGTTAGTTGGAATAGTGGGTCTCTGTGTGGGTCACAGTAGATGCCTAAGGAAAGTGGGTGGGGATCACACTTCAGAGAGTGTCAAGAGCCATGGAGAACAAATATGGATTTGGAGTAAAGAATACATAGGCTTGTTGTTGTTGTTGTTAAGTGTGGTCAAGTCGATTCCAACCCATAGCAACCCTATATAGGATTTCTAAGGAGCAGCTGGTGAGCTTGAACCACTGACCTTGCAGTTCAAACGACTTTGCAGTCTGACGCATTAGCCCACAGTGCCACACCAGGACTCCATAGGCTTGGAGGAACTCAAATATGAGTTGGGCGTCACTGTGACTTATTAACTGAAATGGGAATACCCAGTAGTGAAAAAGGCCAGATGCAGAGTACTAGCTGAAACTGAGGAGGGGTGTTGGGCATGGGAAGAGCAGAAGGATGTAAGTGATGGGATTTCAGAGCTTAGCAGCTGGCTAGGCATTCTGGATGGCTTTGTGTGGGGGAGCTGTTGGTGCTGCAAGTGCAGACTGGGGGAGATTCTGGGGGAGGAGGCCAAGTGAGAGGAGAGCAGAGGGCTAGGGTCAAGTTCAGGGGAAGTCTGCAACTAGGGTACAAGATGGAGAAAAGGAGCCAGCAAATGATATAGGAGGTACACTATATCCTGGAAGTCTAGGGGGAAGAGAATTTCATGAGGCTGAAATGGTCAGCAGTTGGATGTGGTGCGAGGTCGTGAGCACTCTAAGATCTGAAAATAGAGACTATTACAGCTGGAAGGGCCTCAAAGATGAACTAGTCCAAGGTTTACTTTCTTTCTTTACTTTTTTTTTAAGCTGGAACTTTATCTTTGGAGGGAGGTTAGTGTGAGTCCCACTGAAACACATAAAAGCTGATTGATGCACTGAATGTGTGAGGCCACCTTCACATCTGTTTGGGCTCCATCTCCTGAAAGGCATCTCTACAGTATCCAGGAGTAGTGTTGGGAAATCACTGATCTGGTCCAATAACACTTTTTATTTATCACCGGTTCAGTGGGGCTGTACCCTAGCTCCCCTGGGGTTGTGAGAGGGATGAAGGAGAGTCTCTAGGTAACACTGGGACACTGCTCTTCCATGATCTTCCTAAAGTGCTTGGCTTCAGGTTACCAGATGGATGTGGGGTTTTGTTTAGAGAGGGTTAGTCCAGATTCCAGACTTACTGGTATCTTGCCAGAGGTTCCTCCTCCCTCCCACTTCTCCCCTACCTAGAAGTGGGCTTAAAAAATAAACCCAAACAAAACCCAGTTACATCTGACCCTAACTCATGGCAACCCCACGTGTGTCGACATTGAACTGTGCTCCATAGTGCTGTTAATGGCTGATTTCCTGGAAGTAGATCACTGTATGCATTGCTCAGGCGCTCCATGTTTGAAGGAAGGAGAAACACAGCTTTGATGGTGTTACAGCTTTTCAAAGGGTAGGGCGTCTTTAGGTTGAGAGAACTCTGGGCACTTACATACCTTGTTTGCAAAGTTGGGCTCTACCACATACTGCTTCTCATTTTCAACAGCACCTTCAATGGTAATGAAGAAAATGTTGATTCCTGACTCTCTTGCAAGTCTTGAAGCCTCCTCCACCTTGTCTGTGGGCCAGCCGTCCACAATTACCACGGCCACGTTGGGAGCACCATGTCGGTTCCCATTGGCTTTTGAAAAGAAGTTCTTGCTCACAAAGGAGATAGCCCGACCTTAAAGAAAGAAAATTTGTGTTTGGATGATCATACTGGTCATAAATACAGGAACAGATCACAGTCTTAGTAGGCAAAGGCTATTATGATACGGTGTTGTTGTTGTTGAATGCTGTCTTGTCAGTTCTGACCTATAGCGATCCTATATAGGGTTTCCAAGGAGTGGCTGGTAAGCTTGAACTACTGATGTTGTGGTTCAAACCAACTATGCAGTCCAGAGCATTAATCCACAGCACAACACCAGGATTCCAATGACTCACCAGCAGAATATTAAAAAAAAAGAAATTTGGGTTAATGTATTCAAGTACAGGAAGGAGAAACCTCAATTAATGGCAGCCCAACCAATATGACCTTCCCAGTAAAGCTTAGATGTTTTAGAATGTTTAAAACTAAAAGTATTCATTTGAAGTAAAAAGTGCTTTCTAAAGGCTTGTTGTTATGGTTAGGTGCCATCAAGTTGCTTTCTGACTCATAGTGACCCTATACAGGGTTTCTGAGGAGTGGCTGGTGGATTTGAGCTGCTGACCTTGAAACCCTCAGTTAACCCCAAAATGTAATTAAGCAAGAAAGCAAAGTGCTGTAGTTGAATTCTCCCCCTAGGCAGTGTTGTGAATAATTAGAAAGAGCAGGATTTCATTGTAAGGATCCTACGGATAATGGGTGTTTTGCAAAGGAGACAAATGAAGGAACAGGGGACACCATAGTCTGGGAGCAGCACTGTTGTAAAATGGTGGCCTGAGGGAGCCAGACTGGAATGTTCTAGAGTACATTAGTCCGGAGATTGCTATAATGCATGACTGGAGGGCTGCTGAGGGACTCAACCCATGGCTATGCAAATGACACCTTTCAGAGCTGTGCAGTGCTCAACCTGTGAGCCAAGGTTACCTCTAGACTACATTACATCTAGAACTCACCCCAACCTACGTTTATGGAATACAGGTCTTCCAAGCTCTTTCTTTCCTCAGTCCTCAGCATCCAAGTTACTCTGCTTCTCTGGGACGAGAAGGGGAGACTGGGAGACAGTAACCCACACAGAGATTTTGCTGGGACTTGAATCAGTTAAGGTATGGGCCTGTGTGACTAGGCAGCCCATGAATTACCATTATGCCCTATTTCTGTTTACTGATGAAGATCAGTGGGGCTGGTTCTAAGCAGACTGTCTGAGTCTGCTTAGAATATATATATATTATATATATAATATTTAGTGAGAGAGACTTTCATGGAACAAAAGGGTCCCCTTCTCTGCCTGGTCACTGGACCCATCCTAAGCCCCTAAGATGGTCCCACACTATTTCAAAGATTGTGGGAGGAAGAGTTGGCTTGCAGTGATGATAGCCTCTTGGTCCTGCAGCCTGGGTTGAGCCCAGGTGTGGGGACTTTGTTCTGGAGTGTGTGGCTTCTTTTTTCATAGCTGCAGTACTAAGCCAAGGGCACAGGCCAATCTGGCCAGGGAAAAGCTGTGACCACAATAACTAGGAGACTATGTTCTAGTCCTGGCTGCACCACCTGTGAGCTGTGCAGCTTTGGGTATTTCACTCCAGGTTTCTGGACCTAGATTTCATTGGAACAATCTGCTTCTGCTAAGTGCAAAGATTATGTGGTGTTACAAAGCTTTCCAACATGTCTTTCCCAAGTTCATACTTCAGAGCCTCAAGAAAATCTCATCTTCTAGGGCCTCAAGAAAATTTCAGGGTCACCTTCCTGACTTGTTGTACCTGGGATTGCCAAGCTGTAGTGCTAAAAGCCCCAGGTCCTCCCTGGAAAAGTGGGGCAAATGGACCCCTTAGAGTCAGCATAGCTGCACTGAAGTAAAACGTACTCTTACCAATCCTGAGAGAGCCAGGCTAGGGTACTTGAGTATTCACAAATCCCCTGAAATTATACACAGTGTTTTGTATATGTTAAATATTTATCTGGGTATCTCATCAGATTCTCCAAGGGTTTTCAATATAAAAAAAAAAAAAAAAGTCAAGAATCACCATCTTAAGATGTTAGGATCACTATCATTATACTGTATGCTTTTCTGGTTTGGCCTAGTATGCTGACTTTATTGACTAGTATAGTTTTACCTGTCAAATAAGATCAAATGATTACATATGTGGTTGTTGGAGAAATGTCTTGGAGAGCCTGTGTGTATTGGTTATAGAAAACTTGGCTGCTTAGGAAAAAATCTTGGTCTCTGAGAGCTGCTTTCTCAGACAAGGAGTAATTTTCTTTAAGGCCCAGGACACCCATCAATACTCTCTAACTCAATATCTGAACACAGAGAAACGTAAGCTCACTCCCTGACCCACCCACCAAATTTGGAGATCATGGTGAACTAGTGCTCAACACACATTCCAAGAACCTTCCATGTGTCTTGAGAGCAGAGTTTGGAAATAGGAGAAGTACATTGTCTAGATTCCCTTGTAACTAGGGTTGGTTCTAAGGCTAGTTTTAATTCTACAAATTGATGTACTCATATGTGATTTTGGAAAGTAAAAATGAAGCAGAGACTGAACTTTTCTTTCTGTTCTTTCTGTTGACAGGTATGTGTAGAATATTTGACTTCTCTATAGTATGTTAAGGAGCTCTGGTAGTATAGTGGTTACGAATCAGGCTGTGAGCTGCAAGGTCAGCAGTTCGAAACTATGAGCTGTTCCGCGGGAGAAAGATGAGGCATTCTGCTCCCGTAAAGATTTCCAGCCTCGGAAACCCTGTACAGGGGAACTGACTCCATGGCACATAACAACAACAACATAGTATGTTAGTAGGGATGTCCATGTTTAGCATCATTGGTGCTGAGATGGTAGCATGCTGAGCATCTGTTTTGTGGGTGTAAATACAAGTGGGCAGGGAATGGTTCTGGAGCTGGCACCTGTAGCAGCAGCTTCCTGATCATGGTGGTTTCTTAGCTAAAGCAGGTTTCTGAATTGGCTATAAGAAGCTGGCAGAATTCATAGCATGATTTTCTAATCTTGGAATAGGCAGCAAGTTCTCTGGAAGCCCTGGTTCTACAGGGAGCTTTTGGAAGACATCCCTGGAAACTCAGCCTACAGCCAGTTTCTTCTGGGATTGCAATAATTCTGGAAACCATGTAATGCTCTGAAATAAATCTCTCTCTGCTTAAGCCAGTTAAAGTAAATTCTGTTCTCTGAGCCCAAACCTTAATCAATACGAGGCCAAGTTAGAAGATGTGATTAGATTAAGACACCTCATTGATTTCATCAAAGAAATACTATCTTCTGAAGTCTTTCCCAGAAGACACTATTGGACCTTCACTGATGTAAGTATAAAGTTGAAAACAAATCAGAAATTAACTCTGTTATGTTTGTGATGAGGTACTATTGATTTAGAGGCCTGGAAAGCAGTGATTTGGCCAGTGTTGATTTAGCATTGTTCAAAGGTCAGAGCTCTAGAGTTGCCAGATACTAATATTCTGGTCACTACAGAGAAGCACACTGAAGTAGGGAGAGAAATAATTGATCAGATTTACTATAGGATACTCTCCCAAGAACGTTCTATTCTTGTGTGTGCTCCATGCCAAGCAGCTACTGTGGATTACATCTCCATTTCCCTGGACTTTGATAAGAGGAACAGGTTCCCTGAGAAGTGGACAATCAGGTCTCCCAGTGCCTCCTAAAGCCAAGGCACCATTTTAAAATTAATACACTGGCATGTGCTCCTGAGCAATCTTTGAGCTTGGTCAGTGTGGAACGGTTTCCTAATGCCTATCTCCTAATATTGGGCGGTGGGGAACTGTTTCCTAATGCTTGGCCACATCTTGGTAAACCAATAAAATGGAGTGTGTGGACCTGCCTTGTTGAGGATTAGACTTTGGATTTCTAGTCAGCTCACCCAGGTCAGACACCTCAGGAGACTCAGCTTGCAACAAAGAACATATCTACCTCCACAGTCGTCACTACAACCATAGTTGATAGGAAAGAAAATTTCAAGGGAAGCTTCCCAAATGAAATTGGTTACAAATTTATAAAGTTAAATAAATTGGCTTGTAGGCCAATCAGGAACTAGTCACAGAGCATTGCTACCTGTCCTAAAGATGGTGCCACTCTCAAAAGCCAGGTGTTAATGCAGCTCTGCAGCATACATTATGGTGATTCTTCCCCCAGAATCAATGACAATACTTTAGAAAATATGCAGATGTTAATGTGAGTAATTTATGGATGGATTACTTTTTTTTTTAATCTCCCATATAGAATGGTAAAGAACCCTAGTAGAGTGTTTTTAGTGCTTGCCTGCTATCAGAAAGGTTGGTGGTTCAAAGCCACCCAGAAGCGTTTCAGGAGAAAGACTTGGAGATTTGCTTCTGTAAAGGTTGTTTTTGTTAAGTGCTGTTGAGTCAATTCTGACCCATAGTGACCATGTATAGGGTTTCCGAGAAGCAGCTGATGAGCTTGAACTGCCGACCTTTTACAACCTAGAAAACTCTAAGGGGCAGTGTTATTCTGTCACATGAAGTTGCGAAGAGTTGAAATTGACTCAATGGCATCTAACAATAACAAAAGCATATAAAATGTTAGAGGGCAGTGGTAGGATTGTAGTCTTCCATGTGGGAAAGCTGCCACTTGTCTGTCCATTTGTTTCACTGTGTTGGCTTGTGTATTGTTCTGATGTTGGAAGCGATGCCATTGGTATTTTAAATAACCACAGGGTCACCCACGGTAGACAGGTTTCAGCAAGCTTCCAGACTAAGCAGACGAGGAAGAAGGAGCAGTGAACCACTTCTGAAAGACTATTGTTATTAGGTGACATCAAGTCAGTTCTGACTCATAGCAGCCCCACGAACAACAGAATGAAACACTGCCCGAGACTATGTCATCCTCACAATTGTTGTTACGCTTGAGCCCATTGCTGCTGCCACTGTGCCAATTCATGTCATTGGGGGGTGGGAGGGTTGTCCTCTTTTTTGCTGACCCTCTACTTTTCCAGGCATAATGTCCTCCAGGGACTGGTCTCTCCTGATAATATGTCTGAAGTATGAGAGATGAAGTCTGAAGGGTCAGTCACTGAAAACCTTATGAGTAGCAGCAGGATATTGTCAGATATAATACCAAAAGTGTTTCAGGTTGTAAGGGACTCAAAATATGACTGGGGAAGCGTTGTCTCCTCAAAGTAGAGTTGACCTTAATGACATGGATGGAGTAAAGTTTTCAAGACCTTCATTTGCTGATGTGGCACAACTCAAAATGAGAAGGAACAGCTTCAAACATCCATTTATCTGGATGTTGAATGTATAAAGTGTGAATCTAGGAAACTTGAAGTCATCAAAAATGAAGTAGAACATGTAAAGGTAGATGTGCTAGGTATTAGTCAGCTGAAATGGACTGCTATTGGTAATTTTGAATCAGACAATCATGGTTTACTATGCTGAGAATGACAAACTGAAGAGGAATGATGTCACATTCAAGGTCTATCTTGAGCATTTCAAAATCTATCTTGAAGTACAACGCTGTCTGATAGGATAATATTTATAAGGTTTTACGGAAGATCAGCGAATACGACTATTAATCAAATTTATGCACAAACCACTAAAGCCATTAATGATGAAATTGATAAATTCTACCAAGTTCAATTTGAAATTGATCAAACATGCAATCAAGATGCATTGATAATTATTGACAATTAGAATGCAAAAGTTGGAAACAAAGAGGAAGGGTTGGTAGTTAGAAAATATGGCCTGATGATAGAAATGATGCTGGAGATAACATGATAGAATTTTGCAAGACCAATGACTTCTTCATTGCACCTTTTTTCATAAATGGTGACTATATACATGAATTCACCAGATGGAATACACAGGAATCGAATTGACTACATCTGTAGGAATAGATGATGGAGAAGCTCAATATCATCAACCAAAATAAGGCCAGACCATCAACGCTCATATGAAAGTGCAGGCTGAAGATGAAGAAAATTCAAACAATTCCGCAAGAGCCAAAATATTACCTTGAGTATTTGTTGTTGTTATGTGCCGTGGTGTCGGTTCCGACTCATAGCGACCCTGTACAGGGTTTCTGAGACTGTAAATCATTATGGGAGCAGAAAGCCTCATCTTTCTCCTGTGGAACAGCTGGTAGTTTTGAAGTGCTGACCTTGCGGTTTACAGCCCAATTCGTAACCATTACACTACCAGAGCTCCTTGAGTATATGCCACCTGGGTTTAGAAACCATCTCAAGAACAGATTTGATGCATTAGATACTAATAACCGAAGGCCAGAAAAGCTGTGGGTTGACATCAAGAACATCAAAGACAAAGAAAACAAAAGGGTCATTAAAAAGACAGGAAAGAAAGAAAAGACCAAAAAGTCCCTCAAAAAAGACTCTGATACTTGCTCTTGAACATAAAGAAGTTAAAGGAAAAGGAAGATATGAAGTAAAAGAGCTGAAAAGAAGATGTAAAAAGGCAGCTTGAGAAGACAAAGTAAAATATTATGATATTAAAATTAAATTTTAATTAAAGACCTGGAGTTAGAAAACCAGGAGATAAGAATATGCCCAGAATTTCTCAAGCTGAAAGAACTGAAGAAAAAAATACAGGCCTCTGTTTGCATTGTAGAAGAATTCTATGGTCAAAATCCTTCAATATTGCAAGTTGAGGCTTGAATTTTTCCTTCAGTTCTTTCAGCTTGAGAAATGTTGTCAGGAAGGACCAATCTCTGGAAACGGATACTAGGAAGGACCAATCTCTGGAGACGGATACTAGGAAGGACCAATCTCTGGAGACGGATACTAGGAAAGACCAATCTCTGGAGACGGATACTAGGAAGGACCAATCTCTGGAGATGGATACTAGGAAGGACCAATCTCTGGAGAGTCAATAAAAAAGAGGAAGACTCCCAACGAGATGGACTGACACAGTGATAGCAACAATGGGCTGAACGATAGCACAGGACCGGGTGGTGTTCCATTCTGTTTTAGGTAGGGTCACTTTGAGTCAGAACTCACTCAGAGGCACCTAATAACACATTTGGGGGATCTGGACTTGATTCCTAGCTAGTAAAGTCTTGTGTGTTGGTATGATGCTGAGTAGATTTCAGCAGAGCTTCCAGAGTACGATGGACTAGGAAGAAGGTCTTGGTGACATATTTTCGAAAATCAGCCAATGAAAACTGTGTGGCTCACAACAACCCAATCTGCAATTAATCATGGGGATGGAACAGCAACTGGCAGTGTTTCATTCCATCCTATATGGGACCACCATGAGTCAGGGGAGCAAGCAACAAAAACGTACAGAATGTTAGAAGACACCCATATAGAAAGAGAATCATGGTAGCAAGAGGGAAGTATCCTGAATCCAGATCACATACCTACATTAGAAAGCCCTCCTCTCAGGGTAATTTTCTCTATAGCTGCTTTCACGTCTCTGGAATTCATATGAGTCTTGAGGTTAAATTGGATAGCGGGGTTATCTCTGGAGAGTCAGAACAAGAAATAAGAATTAGCAGGGAAGTTATTACTTTAGGAGAAAATCAGAAAACATAGTCTACTCTTTCATATACAAATACAATAGAATAAAGTCAAGCTGGCGTTTAAAAAATGCCCCACTATTGAATGGTTGGTGGTTCAAACCCACCAGATGTTTTATGGGAGAAAGATGTGTCTGTGTGTTTTGCAAAGATTTACAACCTAGGAAAACCTCTGGGGCAGTTGTACTTTGTCCTATGTGGTTTCTGTGAGTCAGACTTTACAGCAATAAGCTTGGTTTTACGTAGACAGAAGTAATGGAGAAATGAGGAGACTGGAGTCCTTTTTTAAAAAAATATATTTTATTGTGAATTGTGTGATAGTCTACATGGGAGAACATTAGCTTTACATTCATTCCATCACCTATCATTTCATTGGCATAGTTACCATCCCATCCATGCATCCTCACCCAAACAAAGGGTGTACCCTGTAAGCCTGCAAACCGCACCCCCCCCACCACAGTCCTCAGCCCCTTTCCATCTCGGGATCCCGAGTCCCCAGCCACACCATCTCTTGATGTCGTTGTCTTCTCTGCCTCCATCTCAGGCCTCACTGCTTCTCTGGGTAGGATCCCGCTTTCTGCTCTTCTCCCTCTATAGTCCCAGGGTCCTCCGCTCCTAGACTGAAGAGTTAATCACTCCCCTCCTTGCTACAAAATGTCCACCTTTAGATTTCCAACCCTCACAATCAGTCCTGATAACAATTATTCACCACTGCATCACAAGAGACCCATCTGTATTTTGTTTCATCAGCCCTTCCTGGACAGGCTGGATACTATTCACTGGAGACTCTACCTTCCTCCACGCCCTTTGGATCTAGGTTCCCTCTTGAAAGCTTGTAAGCCAGTCACTTCTTACCTTTGTATCCCTCCCCCCATTTTGGGTAGCCAATGTCCAAGTTGCCCCTCCCTATCTACCCTTTGTGTGGAGGGGGTGGGAATAGTTCTTGCAGCAGGGATTTGTTTCCTCTTTTGAGCTACTGCATTTATAGGTGTAGGTCATGTTTATTGAATTGTATCAGATGATGCTTTTTTTCCTCTTCTTTCTTCTTTGGGTTGAGCTCTGTTTATCCAGTCATTGAAGTCTGGTCAAATGGGCATCATCTGTAAGTGTGGGTGTTCTTACGTCTGTCCGGCCTCTTTTTATTGTCTGGCCGTCCCGCTCTCCACTCTAGACCTCTGTGGCTGTGTCATTGTGGAGTCCTTTTTAATGTGTATAGAGAAAAACAGCTTATTCTAGAACTCAGAAGGTGTGTGTTCCAGTTCTGGCAGTGCCATTTCTTAGCACTTAACTTTTCTGGGCCTCGGTTACCTTACCTAGAGTCAAAACACAATCACCACACTCATCATACTGCTAGTGATCAGCACGGTTGTCAAGTGGGAGTTTGCCAATGTAAGGATCATGTCTATAGATAGAATGCCCAAAGTTCCTGGAATGTCCTAGACATGAAGAAAATTTCAGCTATTAGCCACAATCTGAGTTATCCCTAGAACTAGAAATGCATTTTAAAAGTGATGCCAAGGAGAAGATAACACTCCATCCTCCTTATCATGTAGCTCCTGAAAGCAGGAGAGATTACTCAAATCTCATCTAGAGAATCAAAGTCTATTGTATCCAGGGTTGAAAAAGATTAACTGGAGTGTTAGCTGCTGCCAAGTTGGCCCTGACCTCATGCACAGTGAAATGAAATGCTGCGCTTTCTAGGGCCGTCCCCAGGATCTGTTGAAGGTCAAAACCATTGTGATCCACAGGGCTTTCTTTGAATATTGCAAGTGTATCTCCGGACCTTCCATCTTAGTCTGGACGCTTTGCTGAAACTTGCTCAGCATCATAGCAGCACACAAGCCTGTAGTGACAGAGAAGGAGTGGCGGCTGCCATGAGATCCTCTGGCCAGGAATTGAACTGGGTTTTCAGCATGGAAGATGAGCATTCTACCATTGAATCACCACGGTCCCTAGACTGGAGGGTTGTTGTTGTAAAGTGCCATGGAGTCAGTTCTGACTCATAGAGACCCTATATAGGGTTTCCAAGGAGTGGCTGGTGAGCTTGAACCTCCAACCTTGTGTTTCAAACTGCCCTTACAATCCAGCACATTAACCCACAGCGCCACACCAGGACTCTAGACTGGAGGGTGTATGCATGCCCACACCCAGGATGAAATGAGCATGAGTTGTCAAAGATGCCTTGGGAAACAAGGACACTGATCTACACGCAGAAGGGCCCTATTTGGTTTTAATATTCTGTGACTGCTGCTTTGAAATTCTTAATAATTTTTAAATAAGTGGCTCTTATATGAGCAGCCAGACCTTGAGAAAAGAGAAGTGGACACTTAAAAAGCAGCCTTTCCACAAACACCAGGACTTGATCGAAGAAGCAGCTCTGGGTAGTTTTCCAGGGGGTTCTTGATTAGTCCTTCTGGAGACCCACTGTGCAGTCACCAGGGAACTTCTCCCACTTGCCTTCGATATATTTAAAGTGTAAAGCGGTTTGAAGGATACCCTACTGCCTGCCATTTTATTAGTGAATTGGAGGGACAGGTTCTTCAGACAAAACCAAAACCAAATGGTCAGAAGGCATGCATTTCTAATAGGAGGTGATGCAAAGTTGGGAGAGTAGACCAAGGGAAGTTTAAGACGAGCTCTAACACTTGGGGGACTTAGTGGCAAATCCCAGACTAAATCCACTAACCACACCCAATGAAAACGGAGTCCCCAGGATACCAAACAAAAAAACCTGAACATGTTACCATCAAGTTGATGCTGGCTCACTGCAAGTCTGTGTTGAGTGGAACTGCTCCATAGGGTTTTCTTGGCTGCAGTCTTTATGGAAACAGATGTCTGGCCTTCCTTTCATGGTGCTGCTGAGTGGGTCTGCACTGTCAATCTTTAGGTTAGCAATTGACAGCAAACCATTTGCATTACTCGGCCTTTTTGTATGTTGTTGTTAAGTGCTGTAGAGTTGGTTCCGACTCATAGCGACCCTATACAGGGTTTCTGAGGCTGTAAATATTTATGGGAGCAGAAAGCCTCATCTTTCTCCTGCAAAACAGCTGGTAGTTTCGAACTGCTGAACTTGAGGTTAGCAGCCCAACTTGTAACCACTACACTACTGAAGCTCCTTTTTGTACAGGGTCAAACAAAAAGAAACAGACAATAGCAAAGCAAATGGCAGAAGGAGAAAACTGGGTGTTTTAGCTGAATGGGAGCTTACTATAAATCTACAGTGTGAACCAGCTACAGCAAAGCCATACTGCTGGAAGGACGTCGAAGTGCAGCGGAGAAGCCACACAGACAGAGATCCATGTCCTGCTTTATTTTTTAATTCCAGGCCTAAAGGCTTACACATCTATATTCTTACAGACCTTTTTCAGTCAGTGCTATACTCTCCTTCCAGCCACCATGCTCAAAACCTGAATTTTGTCTTTATTTACTCCACTCATACAAGCTGTGAGGAAAGTCCCCTCTATCTTTTGTCATCATTTACTTTCCCCACCCCACCCCACCCCCAGCTCTATGGCAAGCCCAAGATTAGGGCCTGTTTTTCCAGCTTCTGTTATAAGATTCTCTATCATATAATGCCAGTTTTTTGCATATCTCTTAAAGAGCACATCTCCCTGACTGTAAAACTCCTTTGCTCAAAAAAATCAGGGATTCTCATTGTTAATTTTCATATTTTTGATTCCAAAGCCAGCCTAAATTTAATTGCAACTTATTGTTTTAATGCTGTTCTTACCTTCTCCCTTTCCCTCCCTATCTTCTCCTACCTTGTTCTATAATCTTGTCAGAATTAACTGCTCACTGTGTCCTAGGTTTCTAGCATTGTCCTTTTGTTTTTCTTTTCCCTCACAGGAAAGCCCAAATCCTGCTCCCTTATCCCCAGCTCCAGCTCCCTGTCTGTCTTCCCCTTGTCCCCAGCTGACAACGTTTGTGCTTGGCTCAGAATTTTCTTCCCCACAACACCTGACACCTACAATTTTGAAAACAAGTATTTTCTTCATTCTTCTTTTATGTATCTCTATCTTGGTGTGGCACTGTAGGATAAGTACTGGATCATAAGGCTGTTGTTGTTAAGTGCTGTTTAGTTGGTTCCTACCCATAACGATCCTGTATTGGGTTTCCAAGGAGCAGCTGGTGAGCTTGAACCACCTACCTTGCAGTTCAAATGGCTTTGAAGTCTGGCATATTAATCCACAGCGTAGGGTGCTCAAACCCACCAGAAGCTTCTCTGAAACCCTGTTCAGGGTGACTATGGGTCAGAATTTAACAAAATCACCACCACCTCTAAATGTTAGTGTTCCTTAGAGTGCTGTCTCTTACCATGCATCTCTTCTTAATTTATGCACTTGGGAAAATCCCTCTTTCATGAATCCCGAGATTAAGAAGAATCCCATATAAAATGAATCCCATAAATTAAGAGATACATCAGATAGCTCTATACAGCTCCATCTAGGATGCAGTGTACACCTGGGGTTGTTGTTCCACAGGCTTGTCAGGTTTGATAGTTGCAAATCTGAACTCTTATATCTTCCAAGCTTGTCTCTTCTTCTGCATTCCCCCTGCTGACTGGTTGTTAAGTGTCTTAAGTGGAGTTGAGTATTTTACTTTGAGCACCATGCTGCTGCTTCCTCTAGCTGTATTTTATCATATTGCTGTAGACAGTTACTGTTAGGTGGCTATGACTCATGTAGTTGTTGTGAAGTGCTGTCGAGTTGGTTCTGACCCTTAGCGACTCTGTATAGGGTTTCCGAGGAGCAGAAGGTGAGCTTGAACTGCTGACCTTGCAGTTCAAATGACTTTGAAGTCTGGCTCACTAACCCACAGCACCACACCGAGACTCCTAGTGACCTTATATATAACAGAAGGAACACAGCCTCGTCCTGTACCGTCTCTGCTATCCTTGATATGGACGCCTGGTGTGGCGCTGTAGGAGCAGCACTGGACTGCAAAC